GAATGTTCTAGAAATCACTGCAAAGCGAAGGGCAATATTTCAGTCTCTGTGTGAGGAAGGTTTGAAGACGGTGCTTTAGTGATGGCTTCTGGTGTCTCTTTCAGCTCACAAATCTAGGAAACAAGTAGCAGTAATAGCAGGATCTGGAGAAAGGAATGGCAACCCACTCCAGTATTCTTGCCTGGAGAACTCCATGGACAGAAAAGCCATGAGTTCTCGAGAATTGGACATGGGCTTCTCCAGTGGTTCAGTGGTAAAGAATCCACCTACAATGCAAGAGACATGGGTTCGATCCCTGGGTCGGGAAGATCCCCCTGGAGAAGGAAATGGCAACCCACTCCAACATCCTTGCCTGGAGAATTCCATGGACAGAGGAGCCTGGTGGGCTACAGTTCATGGAGGTGCAAGAGAGTCAGGCATGACTTAGTGACTAAACAACAACAGCAGCAGGATACTGTACTGACAGTATCATCAATAAGAAAATGCCAGATGAAAAGGTCCTGCTTTTCCCAGAGTCAACTTAAAAAATATTCACTACCTGCGAGTTATGTTTTATTCGGTGGGAATTTTTAGGACTTCAATCTGGGAGACAGCATCTCCAGTAACCCTGAGAGAACTGCTCTGAGGAGGTGAGGGGAGGAGCCAGGTTATGTAGAAGTTTTGCAACAAAGAGCAGGTAGGGACTTCCCAGGCAGTCCAGGGGCTAAGATTCCGTGCTCCCAACCTGAGCAGGCGGCTCAGGTTCCATCCCTGGTAAGGGAACTATGATCCTGCATGCTGCAACTAAGAGTTCTCATGGGGCATATAAATAAATGAAAATAAATATTAAAAACACCAAAGGATCGGGATGGGAAATACATATAAATCCATGGCTGATTCATGTCAATGTATGACAAAACCCACTACAATATTGTAAAGTAATTAGCCTCCAACTAATAAAAATAAATGAAAAAAAAAACACCAAAGGGCAGGTAGTCTGAACATCAAATGATTATCATTAATTAAAGAAAACTAGATAACCCAAGTTAGAAATTCAGCGCTTTTCTATCTATGGGAAGATGTAAGTCTGGGCTCACTGAAAGCATTCCTTTGATATGCACCTCAGCTGTCTGGGGCCAGTATCCTGTGCTTCTCCATCCTGGGTTTCCTCAGGGTTCACTGTAGGGAATGGCTACAGTCAAGATGGCAGGAATTCTTTTCTTTCCTGAGTTTCCTCAGGGCTCACCGGCTCACACCGGAGGGCTGCAATCACTCATGGCTGTGACATCCATGTTTACTGTTAGGGCAGAAAATATGGCATTTCTCACTAGCATTCTCCTTTTGAATGCAGAGGAATTCTATCAGCTGATTACATGTTTTAAACCCAAATAGAAATTTCTAGCCTAACCTGCTCCCGATGAGACTTTAATTGTACATCCTGAGCCAGGTGTTCAGCTCCTAATACTTACCTCCAAATGCAGCATTTTAAAAGACTGCTCTGGCTGGTGAGGTCTGGTTTGGCTTTCAGCCATCCTCACTTTGTGTTCCTGGCTGGTGAAACCACACACTTGACCAGTTTTCAACAGGCGTCAGATTCATGGAGCCTTTCTTAGTGGCCCCGGCGCTTGTTCTCTAGCTTCAGCCTTGCTTGCAAAAGGAGGTACACTGAACCTCAAAAATCTCAGATGTAAATGAGGTTTCAAGAGGTCATTACAAACAGAATAAAATGGAAATGCAAAGCAAAACCACAAAGAGATACCTGTCAGAATGGCTATTCTCCAAAAGACAAGAAAAACCAAGTGTTGGCAAGGATGTGGAGCAAAGGGAATCCTTATGTGCTATTGGTGAGAAAATAAATTGGTGCAGCCACTATGGAAAACAGCATGGAGGTTCCCCAAAAAACTAAAAATACAACTACCATGTGTGCTCAGTTGCTAAGTTGTATCCGACTCTCCACCCCATGGACTGTAGCCCATCAGGCTCCTCTGTCCATGGGCTTCTCCAGGCAAGAACACTGGAATGGGCTGTCATTTCCTTCTCCAGGGGATCTTCCCAACCCAGGGATTGAACCCCGCATCTCCTGCAGAGATGATTCTTTACACTCTGAGCCACCAGGGCAGCCCATCCCTAAGTTTATTGCCATGAAAATTAAATTATATAAATTTACATTTAGAGAAAGGGCTTCCCTGGTGGCTGAGAATGAATAAAGAAGATGTGGTATATACACACAATGGAACATTATCCAGCCATAAAAAAAGAATAGCATGCTGCCATTTGTGACAACATGGATGGACCTTGAGGACATTTTGCTAAGTGAAATAAGTCAGGCAGAGAAAGACAAATACCATATGATCTCACATATATGTGGCATCTAAAAACATGAAACAAAACCTAAGCTCACAGATACATAGAACAGATTCGTGGTGGCCAGAGGGGAAGGGGAGTGAGGAGTAGACGCAATGGGTGAAGGCGATCAAAATGTATACACTTCCAGCTTTAAATTAGTCATGGGATGAAACGTATAGCATGGTATGTGTGTGTGTTACTCACCCAGTCTTTGTGACCCCATGGACTGCAGCCTGCCAGGCTCCTCTGTCCATGCAATTCTCCAGGCAAGAATACTGGAGTGGGTAGCCATTCCCTCCTCCAGGGCATCTTCCCAACCCAGATTGAACCTGGGTCTCCTGCATTGCAGGCAGATTCTTTACTATCTGAGTCACCAGGGAATGAATATCATTAATAATATTGTATTGAGAGTAGATCTTAACAGTTCTCATCACAAGAAAAAAAATTTTTGTAACTATGTACAGTGATGCATGGTAACTAGACTTACTGTGGCCACCATTGTGCAGAGTGTACAAATATCAAATCACTATGCTGTACACCCAAAACTAATGTTATATGTCAATTACACATCAATAAAAGCAAAAACAAAGAACAATGTAAGAATCCTATCTTACAGACATGCAAACACAATCCAGTATAGACAATTTTGTTGTGAACTTTCCATATACTTCATGTGGGTTTTTATAGACACCGCATCTTGGTAGGCTACAAAAATCAGACAGCCAGAAAAGCTGCATCAAATTCAAAGATGGAAGAACTCCAGAGACCTTCTAGGAGTGGGACTGGGAATGATTTTCTCTCTGACTGTTTCCCTATTAAATCTCAGATGGTTATACAATAGGGAGAGAAGTGCTGATGGGGCCTTCTCAATCCCCATCTCCCTCTTTCAGAGATTCCCGATTCCAGGCCTCTTACCAGAGACACATGCCCACTTGCTAAGAGACTGCCTCTGAAATGATCTTCAAAATCTGTCACTCAGCACTTAGGGTGAACTTGGCTGACATGACTTGCCTTGGGCCCCACAGGCCTAGAGAGTCTCCCCTCCCCAGACTTCCAAAACCTCTGGCTTGGACTGAAATCTGCTCCTTTGGAATCATCAGCCCCAGCGGAGCACATTTCCTGAAAGATCCCATTGGGATGTGCCAAGTTGGGGGCAGCCTGCAGGCTGGCGCTGGAGGGAGGAGCCGGGCCAACCAGGGCCAGTTCCCTAAAGTAGTGAGCGCCCAAGCTGGAAACCCATGACTCTGTGGGTGGCTGGGCTCTGGCAGCAAGCTATGCAGTAGAAGGAAGGAGAGTGGAGGGCAGGGTGAGAGAGGGGAGGAAGGTCAGATGGAAAAAGACAAGAGGCCCCTTGGCTAACTAAGAAAGGCTCCACCAGATGCACAGGCGGCTTACAGATGCCTCCCAATTCAGCAGGAAAAGCCACCTCTAACATCTCAACTTCTCCCCCTGTTCCCTGTCGAGTGTGGGCTTCTCCCTCCCCTCTAGTTTCATATTAACCTGATTCCCGCTTTGGGGGGTTGGGATGAATCCACATGGGGGACAGGGGAATGGCACTTGCCAGGCACAGAGGATAAAGTCTCCTTTCCACTTTGCCCTGAATCAGTTCCTACCAAACAGCTGAAAAACTTACAAGAGTCAGCTGGAAACAAAAGTTCCTGATTATCACTTCACACGTTGGAGTCATTCACTCATTAATGGATGCACAGGGAATATCTAGCAGCCAGCCCTGCATCTCCCCAGCATGCTATCTGGGAACCCTCCCCCTCCAACCTTCACCCACAACTCTATAGGTTCGCTTTTCAGACCCCCAATTTAAACTGCCCACAGTATTGAAAGTAAAGCCAGATATCTGCCGACCCCCTAGCCCACATCACCCACTTTCCCGTTAACACTAAATTAAAATGCGCCCAAGGATTTCTTCTCTCCAGGGCGACACGGTTGCATCCATGTTTCCCAGCTCCCCTGAAGCTCTTTGCATTTCCAAAGAAGGTTTTGTCAACACCAGGAGAGCCCTAATAAACACCTGGGTCCCCTTAGATGCTACAGACCACGCCTTCCAGAAACCAGAAGCCCCACCCCCTGTCTCGCAGAGCCCGCGTGCTAACCAGGCGCTTGCCACATGTCACCACTCTCAGCTGGCACCTCTCTTCCAGCGGTGCAGACTTTCTCGGAATCCCCAGCAGGGGGGGTTGGGGGATGCGGGAGAGGCCCCGCCTGCGCCGTCCACGAGAGTCCTTCTACGGCGACTCGTGCCCTGCAGCCCCAGGGGGTGGCCTGGGACCTCGAGTGGGAGGGGGTAGGTGCTGCTTCCAGGACAAGCTGTCAGCCCCCTGGGTCCCGGCCGCGAGCAACCGCGGGAGAGGCAACTCCTGGGGGTGAGAAAGTAGCCCGCGGCCAAACGTCTCTTAATCGCCTCTAGCGCCTACGTGGGTTTGACTGAACCCCTGGAACTCCGGGCGCAGAGAGTCCGTTGGCTCCCGGCGACCGGCTGACAATCGGCTCTCCCTTCCCGATGCCCGGACGCTGGCCCCGCTCCGCGTCCCCCCATCCCGGGGCGGCGAAAGACGAAGTCGGCGCAAACAAAGGGCGCCTTGCACCACCCTCCGGCCAAGCCGGGGATGGGGGTGGTCCCCGGCACCCTGCTGGGGAGGCTAGCCCGCCCCTGGCCCTACCTGGGAAGCCGCGGCTCGGCGGGACTTGTAGCAGCAGTGGCAACAGCAGCAGCAGCGCGGACCGGAGTGCGGGGCTCCCCATGGCGCGCCGGCGCTGCGCTCCGCTCAGCTGCACGGCGCGCGTCCCGGGGGCGGGAGGAGATCGACCGGACCGAGGGACTGCGCCGCGGGCCGGCGGAGGCAGAACTTAAAAACTCCTCCTCTCGCCTGTCTCCCGCCTCCGGCCAGCCCTCCTTCCTCCGCCTCCCCCGAGCGCTGGCGCGGCTGGGGCTCCGACCCACCCCCTCCTTTTGTGCCTGCTCTTCTTCTGGAGCGGGGCTGACACCTCCACCCCCTCTCCGGGGTGCCGGAGCGCGCCAGGGGCGTGCCCTAGTAAACCGAACCATCCCAAAGTATCTCTGGGTTTCCCAGTTTGCGCCCTTTCACTCCAAATACACACACCGGTTGCCCGACCCCCTCCCAGATCACGGGCCCCTAGCACCATGTCATCTAGGCAGAGAGCTGCGTGAGTCGCAGGCAAAGAGAAGAGACAACCGCGGCAGGTTATTATGGCCAAGTTCGCGCATTTGACCCTCCTGATCACGCCCCAAGTTTGCTGTTATTATGCCCACCCCCTCCGAAAAGAAACACCGCCTAGAAACCTGCCGGGGTTCAGGGTTACGGACAGAGCGGAGATTAGAACTTAGGTGTATGGTTGCGCCGGCGCCAACGTCCGTGTTAAGGCTTTTTGGTTTCTCTTTAGCGAAGGAATGAATCAACTGTTGGCCCGGGTGCGTGCCGGCTGCACTGCGGTTTGGGATGAGGCTTGAGGTACTCTTTCCAAGGTTGGCTGATGGGCGAGCACAAGGCCCAGAAAGTTCCCCGTCTCACCCACAGCCTGGGAATTCAGCTGTTGTAGTTCCCTTGCAATCAGAGTTCCCCATTTCCTGGATTGTTCGCACCCCTAGGGTACCACGATCAGCCTGGAGCCTCCACCCTGTGGGCTGGCGTCAGGATAGGGTTTCTCGGCTGCCTGCAGGACTGATCTGGTTTCTTCTTCGAGGCTTTCTCTCTCTCTCTCTCTCTCTCTCTCTCTTTTTTTGTAAACACCTAAGGCAGGGACCTTGCCCCTTTTCCTGCCAGAAGATCTTAGCTAAGACAGATTCCAACTAGGGCTGCTGCATTCAGTTGTGCCATGCGCACTGAGCAAAGGTCCTGGAGGAAGGGGCAAGGGTGCTAACATCCAGCCACCTCTGGGGTCACGGAGCCCTGTACCGTGGCAGAGGCCATGTTCATTGTGGAAAGGCAGCTTTCTCCTCGCCTCGGCAGTCTGATCTGTTAGCTAGACGAAAGGCCCTGGGAATATCCATCCAGAAGGTTTTCAATTTTTTAAATCTAGATGGCTTGCTCTTTTCCCATTTCTCACAAAAGACTCTGCTTTGAACTTCCATCTTATCCTCTCTGGTACCTGGGAGCCTTCCCTCCATCGCTTCTGCCTTCTCATGGAGCCAACAACCCTTCAGTAACCCTCTGATCACAAGATAATGAGGGCGGTCAGGCTCTTCCTGGGCCTCCATCTCACCAGACTCTCCAGGGAGTGGTTCTCAATCCTGTCCACCCAGGAGAGAAACCTTAGGGGAGCTTCATGGAAATACCCTATCTGGGCTCCACCCTAGCCAGACCAAAGAATCTTTAGGGATGTGGCCTGGCCTTTGGGCAGATGGATCATCCCCTCGCCCTCATGCTCCAGTGGTGCAGGTTTTAGAACGGGATAAATTCTAAGTCAAGGATTCTCAGCCCAAGCGCTACTGACATTTGTGGCTGGACCATTCTTGGTTAGGGAGGGTGCCTGCTCTGCGTACTGAAGGATGTTTTAGTTGCATTCCTGGCCTCTGTGCCCCTGAGAACAAGTAGCAGGCTCTCAATTTTTCTCTGTTGTGACAATCAACACATGTCTCCAGGAACTGTCAGATATCGTCTAGCACAAAAACTGGCCCCAATCGAGAACCCCTGTTGGAGGTTCATGAGCAAAGGTTTATGGGTACCCCAAATTTCCAGGTCCAGATTAGTCTGACCGGTGGCCTTCCTTTCCTTTATCACCTGAGACAAGCTCTGCTCACAAAAGCCAGCATGCATTTTATTACTGAACGGACAAGGAACACCTGGCTCTCGCCTAGCACCTGAATCTGGCTGATGACAAGCAATACCACACTGTTAAGAGCCACTTTCTTTGCTACTTTAGAACAAACTCCAACCAGATTTATAATAATAATTACAATACCTAGTATTATTATTTATAATTATTATATACAGGACTCTCTGGCAGAAGGGATGAGGGAAGAGGGAAGCGGAGGAGAAATTATCCATCCTCTTCACAGTGTCTTGGTAGACAATAGGATGGTTAAGTAGATTCATAATCTGTCAAGCAGACAGGGTCATGAATGGATGGAAACAAGAGAAGAAGTCACCCAGGGAGTGCCACAGAGCTCTGATCTCTTCCTGTCCTGCTGGTCATAGCTACTAATGAGTTGGGAAAAGACACTGCTGCCATGAGGCACAGAGATAGGTAAGAAATAGGTTCCAAGCATCTCTAATAAGCAAGGATGCTGTATTGACTCTGAACACTAAAAAATAATGATAGGACTTCCCTAGTGGCACAGTGGATAAAAATCCGCCTGCCAATGCAGGGAACACGGGTTCTAGCCCTGGTCCAGGAAGCTCCCACAAGCCCCGGAGCAACTAAGCCCGAGAGTCACAACTACTGAAGTCTGTCCTCTAGAGCCTGTGCTCCACAAAAAGAGAGGCCACCGCAATGAGAAGCCTGCTCTCTGCAACGAAGAAGTAGCCCTCACTCACTGCAACTAGAGCAAGCCCGAGTGCAGCAAAGAAGACCCAGCATAGTCATAAATAAATAAGAAGATAATAAAGATAAATATGATACCCTACATGAGATCTCAAAATTCAACCACACAGACTCCGAGTACAGGAAACGTGGCTTCTCAGCAGTACCTATCATACTTAGTTACCTACAGGCTACGACAGACTTGCCAGGCACCTCAGGGCGCTGCTGACAGAGCCTGTTCTATCCTCGGAGGCATTCCTGAGTGCTGGGCAAAGTGCCGAAGGTGAGAAGGGAACACAGCCTCAAAGTCTGGCAGGGGGTGCGGGGGTGGGGAGAGGTGTCTTTCCACTGATTGCAGTGTGGAGGAGGCTGGATTAAACAGCACAGCCTTGTCCCCTGAGTTAGAGTGGAATGACCCACAGTGGAGAAGGAAGGAAAAGGAGTCCCAGGATTCCCCACCCCTCCACTTTCTTCCTTGAACTTGTAGACTCAGAGACGCCATTGAAGCAGAATCTGGCAGTCCCCTACATACCGCAGGAGAGTGCTTTTCTGAGCATGTCAGTCAAGGCCCTTCCCTCGTGAACCTCTGCCGTCTTCCCACACCTCCTTATCCCCCACCTTCACAAACCAGTCCTTCTCTTCCCACATCCTTCCAGAGTAAAGGACCTGAAGCTTAAGGGGAACATTGGTGTCTCACTGTACCTTAGGAAATGGAAGTGGAATCAAAGTCAAGGAGACACTCAGGAGGGATGAGACTTAAGACAGTGCTTCTCAGACTAGCTGTGCATGTGTGTGTGCTAAGTCGCTTCAGTCGTGTCCGACTACTTGCAACCCATGGACTGTCGCCCACCAGGCTCCTCTGTCCATGGAATTCTCCAGGCAAGAATACTGAAGTGGCTTGCCATGCCCTTCTCTAGGGCATCTTCTTGACCCAGGGATCAAACCTAGGTCAGATTGCAGGCAGATTCCTTACCCACTGAGCCACCTGGAAACTAGCTGTGGTGAAGGACTATTGTTCCAAAATTCTCAATCCAAGTTTGGGATTAGCAGAGGCAAACTATTATATATAGGATGAATAAACAACAAGGTCCTGTATAGCACAGGGAACTATATTCAATATCCCTTGATAAACCATAACAGAAAAAGAACATGAAAAGGGATGTATATATATGTATAACTGAGTCACTCTGCCGTACACCTGAAACTAACACATTGTAAATCAACTATACTTACGTAAAATAAATTTTTAAAAATTCCCAATCCATCATTGATCAAGGCTTTTATAAAACCAATAAATATAACTCCCTAGAAAAACGGGAATAAGTCAGAGAGCAGCATGGGTTTAGGGACCACACTTTGAGTAGCACAGTTATGGTGGGTTTAATTGTTTCCATCCTGTACTTATACAAACTACAGACCACACTAGACTCCAGGTTTCTGAGAACTCAAGACTCGAAGGACAAGGAGATGGAATCGCAGTCTATTGGAATCATGCTAAATGAATGCCAGAAGGGTAGGGCAAGTTTGGCTGGTACTATTGCTCTCTGTATCTGTTAACAAATCTAGATTTGAAAGGGTTAACATAAGAGTGCTCAAGGTCAAGATCAAAAAAAGCTACAGGCAGTCTGTTTACAATCCCCTGGCTTAAAGAGATTTCTTCTCTTTCTAGAATAAATATTCAGAGTGATACAATATAAGCTCTAAGGGATGAAAATTTCTGCAGCATAAGGGAAAAGGAATATTTTGACTCTTAAAGATTCAAGGAAAACATCTCATTTATGAAAATAACCAGCTACCAAAAAAAAAAAAAAAGGAAAGGCAGTTTCAGAAACTATTTGGTGTATTCAGCAAAAGATTAAAGAATACTCTTATATAGTAGGAGTAGGGGGTTATACAGGCTTCCCTGGTGACTCAGTTGGTAAAGGACCCACCTGCAATGTGGCTTGCAGGCGCATTGCAACCTGGTTTCCATCCCTGGGTTGGGAAGATCCCAAGGAGGAGGGCATGGCAACCCACTCCAGTATTCTTGTCTGGAGAACCACCATGGACAGAGGAGCCTGGTGGGCTGCAGTCCATGGGGTCACAAAGAGTTGGACATAACTGAAACGACTGAGCACACATACAGAAAATTGAGAAATATAAGAATGTAAAGATTCAAATATGAAATTAATATCTTTGGTCAGGCTTGGAAGTTATCATTCCCGTCCTGACAACAAGAGAAAGCTGGGTAAACAAAAATTCATGAGTTTTCTTGGAGTCAA